TATCCTGTTTCCTTATTTAGTAATCTTGGTCTCCATATTATAACAAAATTATTCATATTTTTCTAAACTAACCCTAATTATTACTCTAATCTACTTTTTAAAATCTTTAAAAAAGGTAAGACATTTTAGTCTTTTATATTTTATTTTATACTCATTTTCAATTAAATACATGTGTCAACTCCAATAAGACGCTTCTTCTGAAACGGATGGAGTATAATATATTGTAAGATAATATATATATATATGGAATGTGATATTTTTTAAAATATATATTAATTAACAAATAATGACGATTTTAATAAATATGTATGTAATTTTTTATTTTAATTTTATATTAATAAATTATTAATGTTAAAATTAAATTAAAATTATAAAATAAAAAAGTTAAAACGTGAATAAAATATATAATTTTTTTATAAGAAAATAATTTTAAGGTAAGCCCAGTGACCTCACATTCAACTATCCGAGTCCTCGGACATATAATTGTGATTATTCCTTATAATATTCAGATATTATTTTATATTACAAATTATTACTATTTAAATAAAATCAAATAAAATTATCTTTACATTTAGATTTATATATCATCTAATCATGACAAGCAAACCAACCCAGCCCACTTGAATTTTTACACCCACAAATATCAAATAAATTAATCAAGATGTGTACCTAAAATAATATACTTTTACATACATAATTAATTAAATGGGATTTGAATTAGTCAATTGAATATTAATTAATTAATTAATTAATTACCAATAGAACAAGCAAGTAATTTATTGAGATAAACCCTATAAAAAGAAACATTAAAATAATAAAGTGCATAATTTAACAATTAATTAATCAATGTTTGTAAAAGTTTAGACTCTATTTTCTTTTTTTATTAGTATTTAATCATTGCAAATTTTATAATAGCTACTGATTACCCTTTTTCTTTTTAATAAGTCCCATAAAAAGATGATTTATTTCGATAATTTTATTAATTTTAAACATACTTAACAAATATAAATTAATTCAATTAAACTTCTAACATCTTACCCGTAGAATCCACTCAAAACTCTTTTATTTCTATCTCTCTCATCAATTAACATACTCCCTATGTCCCAAAAGAAGTGTCTTATTGAGAGTTCATACGGAAATTAAGGAATAACAGTATTTAAGTAGGTATAAGGTGGAATGTAAATGGCTAAAATATGGAAAAGTAGGAATAATTTTGTTATAAAATGGGGACCACGGCTACTAAATAAGGAAAAACAAGACAATTGTTTTGGAACGGACGAAAATAAAAAAACAAGACAAATCTTTTGGGACAGAGGAAGTAATTTTTTATCTATATTTAAAATTCCAAATTCTATATAAAACTAATTTATGATAATGATAAATAAATTAAAATATTTTTTTATTATATAAAATTTTATTATTTATCAAATGATATCCATATTACATATATTTTTTTTGAAATATAATCTTAAAAAATTTTAAAATAGCAATAATATTATTCATATAAAAAATAATAAGCTAATATCATAACTTATTATTAATAATTTACTAATTTATACTAGCTAAAAAATTGCGTCCCTAATAAAAGGATTCATCCCTCGCGGAGACAGAAGGGGGAGTATATTATTTTTTATTAGTCTAATATATACACATTCTGATGCTTCTTTAATCTATTCAAATATAGAATTATAGATTTTTTAAATAAATATGTACTCTATTATATATTTTTAATGTGTTAAATATATATTTATCTACGTATCATTACATCAAATTTAAATATATTAACTAAAAAACTTTTAAATTCAAAAGTATACCCTAATTATCATTTGATACAATATTTTTTAAACTCTGTCCTAAAAATAAATATATATGTATATATATCTTTTGAGTTGACAAATTATCTATATATATTTACAAAATAGGAATATCATATTTGAACTAATATTTAATAAAAATAAATTAAACCCTAAAGAAAAAAAAAAGAAAAAAAAAAAAACAAAGGAAATTAGTGGTTTAGAATAGCGTGTGTCTGTACATATCCATTCATATTTGGATTCTGACATCACTGCAATGTCAGAGATCACCTCATCTTAGCAGCCGCCATAACAAATATTTAATTAAAAAATTAATTAAAATTTATTACATGATAAAAAATAAATAAAAAATCTAACTTTCAGTTTTATTTACTCTAATACAATAATCTTATTTACTATTTTTGTTCGTTTCAAAATAATAGTCTCATTTTCATGAATAATCGTATCATTATAAAATTATCTTTACTTTTTCATTATTATTATACAATTGTCACTACTTTTTATTCTAATATATTTACAAGGGCAAAAAAAATTTTATCCATACTTTTTATCCACTATAATATAATATTAATATTCCTTAAATCTCGTATCAAACACAACTCAAACTATAATTTTATGATAAAAAAAGTATTATTTATCAATAGTAATATATTTTAAATATCATATCGAATATTTTTTTTTTTCACGTATGATGTTCGTTGTTTTAGTTTATCTCACATCTACTGTTTTATTTTTTAAAAAAAAATTATACTAGTTTATTTTAAATTATATTTTAAAATTTATAATTTTTAAAATTTTAATTAGAATAATTAATTATTTTAATTTTAATTATAATATTTATATTGAATTGTATTTGCTTTTACTAAATGTATTTTTTGATTATTTATTATTTATTACTCCTAAAATTTTATATCTACCGTGCCAAGGATAATATAGGTGGGGCGGATTTATATTTAAAATACTAAAGCAAAAAGCATATTTTATATACAAAATATTACTCGCAATTGTTTTATTATGTTCAAAATTCTTTAAAAGTATTATGTGTGTTCACACTATTATTTTTTAAGGAGACGATTTTCAATCAATATTATTATTATTATTATTAAGGTAATTAGTGGAAATGTATAAATTGAAAGCCAAACTATCATAAAATATCATTGACCCAATGGATAAAATATTCAATAATGGGCTTATTATGAGCCCAATATGTGTATAAAATATTCAATAATGGGCTTATTATGAGCCCAATATTTGAACAAAGTATTGTTTGGATTTATTATTTTAATTACTTTGATAGAAAATATATATACAGCATAAATATAATTTATAAACCATAAAATTTTATATAATACAAATCAATTTTTAAAATATACATATATTGATACATGTTATAAATTTTTTATAACTTCAAACCTACGAATTGGAAACCACACAACCAAATTCGACCAAATGATAGTAACTATACTATTTCACACTTTATATAATACATAAAAATATACTCTTTCTGTCCCACCTCAAAGTTTTTTTTTATCATTTTGGTTCGTCTCACTTAAAAGTAATTATACACACATATACGTACCAAAATACCATTAACTTTTAACTAAATTATAAATATACAATTACGCATACAATTATTTTTTTATATAAAGTCAAACGACAAAATGTCAAAACTTCTTACATATTTTCACTGACTAATAAAATATTATTATTTTTTAATTTACTGCAAAGACCTTTTGGACGGAGGGGGAGGAAGTATTTGTTTATCTAACTAATAAAAATAAATTGATACATACATCAAATATGAAAGTCAAACTATCCAATGGGTTAAACTGGCCCCGGCCCGACCCGAAGCAGGCCTAAAACCAAGCTACATTTATTCATGTCCATATTCAACTGGACTTGGGCCGAACCGGCCCGACTGATGGAATATGTATAAATTTAGCATATGACTTATTCTGTATTGATTTACATTAACATTCATAAAATTGATAGAATTATTTATTGATTTATATAGATATTTATATAATTGATATAATTGTGTAATAGCCTTTTTTATTCTTAATTTATATGAAATTTTATAAATTTTGGTGTGGGAACTATTGATACAAATATTTACTGAACACGCTTGTATATATAAAAAAAAAGTTATTTTAATTATTTGACAAAAATACTAGTTGTAACTATATAAATAAAATATATATTGCTTTCATAATATATATATATGTATATGTAAGATTATTTTTATATAAGTTTCCATTTCAATACATTATAATTTTAAAATAATTCTCACACATGATTCACATGTTATAAACACAATTTACGATATATTACAATGATGTCTTGTCAGCAAATCTGACGATTGACAACTACTTCTATCAATTTTATTCTTTTATGTGTACTCACACTCTCGACAGGAATTTCACCCAACACATGCACACACACACCAACCCAGAATGTCTCACTACTTGATCTATAAAAGTTTGACATACTAAATAAAATGGTTATAGTACTAAGAATTTGTTCATTTACCAATTTTAAGATAGAGCAACTCTTTGTAAAAAATATTTAAAAATATATAATATACACACATATTAATACATATACAAATATATTTTATCTATTAACAAAAAATCAATAATTAAATATATAATATTAATTTTTATATTACTGATATAATTTTTTATATCTAAAAATAAAAAACACTTATACCTAAAAACACAAAGTAAACAAGCTTTAAAATTTTTATATATTTTTTCTTTTCATAAAATATCCATATCAATGTTAACTCTATAAAATATTGTAATATTGCAATAAATTAGATATATTCTATTATTGTGTTGACGAAAGTGTAATTGTTATGATCCATCAAGAATGGTCCACCTCAGCATCCACAAATCACACTATATAGGCCTTTCATCAAATTTTAAATTTTATTTTTCATATTCCAAGACTACCAATTTTAATAATATAAATAAATTAAATTATGCCAAAAATAGAACAAATGACATGAGCAAAACCCACAAATTTAAGCCATCAATTTTCATAAAATCATCAGTTATTAATGCCAACACTAAATGCCATTTCAACCAAAAATTTCATACTCCCAACTACTCAAATGTGTCATTTTTATAATTCAAAAAAATTAAATATATATATAAATAAATAAAAGGAATTACTAAATAAAAGTAAATTAAAAATTAAAGGCTTTCCATGCCCCTGGTCCTTGAAAAAGAATGTACACTAACTGAACCGAGCTGTCTGATACACGAACCGGGTTCAACACACCGGTTTTCAGATCATATCATATCCTACTGTAGCCTCGAATTTAACTCTTACCCTAAAATTCATATATATATAAATATAGATATAATTTTACCTATTTTTTGGTACTTTCCTACCTAATAAAATTGAGACCTCTTCAAAAACTCTGAACCGGAGGCGAACCGGTGGCGCCACCGGTTTCCGTCTCTTTCTTCCGCCGCATCTCCAGAACTTTCCGGTGATTGTTGGAATGTAACTCGGTAGAGAAGGTCGGGCTGCAAGCGGGCCGGTATTCGGGTAAGAGCCGGCCCGACTTATATCTCACTCCACAGGCATTGCAAAGTGTTTTTGAGCCCATCGGGCCGGCCCGCCACTGAGGAGTCTTGGTGACGCCACAATGGCTGCACTTGCGCGGCTGCGCCGCCGCGCCGCCGCCGTCGGCCGGTTTTTTCTTCTGTTTTTTCGCCGGTTTAGGCTGGGCCGGGACCAGTAGAAGATTGGGCGGCGAAAACGACGTCGTCGTTGACGACGCCGACGATATCGACGACGAGGTGGACGACGACGGAGACAGAACCGGCCAGACCCGGACCCCGGTCCGGGCCCTCTTCGTCCTCGCCTTCGTCTGAACCGGGGTCGCAAAGCACGGTGCCGGAACCGCCGCGTCGGACATTTTTTCCGACGACTGAGGAACCAGTTTTCCGGCGAGGGAATAATCCGGCAACGAATCCTCGACGAAATGCGAGAGCCATTCCAAACTCTCCAAACCCTCGGCCTGCAAAATAAAAAATTAAAAATCAAATCTTTTCAAAAATTAAAAAAATAATAATAAATAAATAAATATTATAAAACCCTAAATGGCTAAATCACCTCAGCTTTCAGCTCGCTTCCATGGAAAGACCCGAACTCATCTTCTCCGGCGAAGCCCTTCATTTCAGCCCCCGCCGGGGGTTTTTCCGGCGAGCCACAGGAAGCTCCAATTTTCTCCTCTGGCGGCTGCTCCGTCACGAGATGCTCCTCCAATTCAGAATCTCCATTCGAAAAATCAAGAAGCTCGTCGACAAACAGGTCGTCCCCGCCGGCGCCGGCGCCGGAACTCCACAAGCCTTCATCTCCAAACGACGCCGTTTCGTGCAGAAACTCCATTCCCTGCGAAGCCCCAAAAGTAAGCTTAGAACAAGAAAAAATAGAAAAAGCCAAAAATGGAGGAACCTGCCTTAGAGCGAGAAGAAGAGAGCAGATGTGGGTAGTGAGAGAAAGGGTTGAAAGTGAAGAGGAAAGGGCTATGGAGGGTTCGGTAAAGCATTGAATGAGAAAGAAAGTTAGAGTGAGAAACAGGAGTGAGAGAGGCGCTGAGGGATGGGGGAACAGGATTAAAGCACCTTACCCTATTCACCTCAAATACATATACATACATGATACATACAAATGAATGTGTATATATATTTGAATTTTTTGTAATAAATTTATTAATAATAGTTTTATTTTACTAATAAAGTATATATTTTTTGTATTTTAAGTCATCTAATAATAAAGAAAATATTTCAAAAATATTCAATTTTTTTATAAATATTTTTATTTTTTTACAATATCATTATTTTTATACAAAAAATAATAATAAAATTATTTTTATTCTCTTTTTAACTATTTATTATTAGTATTATTTTTTTTTAACTTTCACTATAAAATTAAACGACTAAATATATAGTCTAAAATGAAATTGCTGTATTAATATTTTATTAATTAATAAAAATGTATAAGAATATATTAGTAATTTATATAAAAATGTGTTGATATTAGAATTTTTTTTATTATAATAAAAAATAAATTATTTTAAGAAAAGAAGATAAAACTATATAAAATTATGGAAATGAGTTATTACATAAAATTAAAGAAAGAAACAAAAAGTGGCCGTTTCGTTTCCCGTGCGGACCAGCAGATACAGATACAGATGCAGATGCAGATAGATATTTGAACAACAAATGCCACCCCTATATTTATTCTCTAATTAAATTAATCACCATTTTAACGCTTCTTCGTATTACAATCAATTCATATTTATTGTACTATATTGATCAATTTTTTAATTTATTATTTTTCAAATTAATTTTATTTTACTTTTTAATTATAAACTTTAACCGATGTAATCATTGTTTGAATATAATTTTATTTCTTAAATGTTTAATAAAATTAGCAATTAAATTAATTTAATGAAAAAGATAAAAAGTCAATTCAAAAAGAAATATATCAAAATTAGCATAAGAGTTAATAAGAGAAACACTTTTCCCATCAAATTTTGTAATTTATTTATATTCATATTACAAGTAACGCTCCTGTAATAAATGTTGCAATGAAATTATCGATATAATAATACAAGTAATTTCATTTTCATGGAAATTATGGATTTTTTTTTTTTTTTTTTTTTGTCCAGATTGAAATTTTAAATTATCCTTTATAAATAATTATAATTTAATATTTCATAAATATTTTTTAAAATATATATATATGAAATCTAAAGTTAATTTGACTAAAAATGATGGAAATATTATGTTATAATGTGTGCAATGGAAGCGAGAGTCAGTCACGGGAAAGTGGACCCTTCTTCCGTTGTAAAAATAAATAAATAAAAATAAAGGATGTGTTTGAAATTTTGAAGTTTAAATAATACTTCTATCGGATCATCTGTCTCAAATACTCTACAATTTTTTTTTGTGTATGTCTCAAATATCTGCAATATTTTCAAAAATAAAAAAGGATTAATCTTTACCTTACATTTTATTCTCTCATATCATCCAAATTAAAAAATAAAATATATATTTTTCTCTACATCGTATTACTTAATTTCTAAATTATCCTAGTCAATACTATTCACCTAAAAATTTGTACCAAAAATAAATGTTGCATTTTTTTGGAAATAATTAAAACTAGGACTGTTGTGGAATAATAATAATAATAATAATTTATTGCAACGAATTTAGGGTAGTGGGGCCCATCTTATCTGACTACGACTAATCGTTTTTTTCCCGCTACTGCATTTTCAACTTATCCCAGAAAATCCCGTTTCATAAAATAACACAAACAAACACTATTATTATTATTATTATTATTATTATTAAGGATTTGTTTGTTTGTGGCGTTGTCTTTTTAATTATGATTTGTTTGCTGGTGTTTTGAAATCTTTATTATTTTTAAATTTGGTAAATTTTGAATTTAAATTATTGATTTAAAGTTAAAAGAATATAAATGAATATTGAAAATGGGAAATTGAAATATTCCATTCGGCCATAATGAAAATATTTATTTACCTATTGCACCTTGATTTTAAAATATTGATAATATATATATATATGCCGTATAGTATAATAGATGAATGAATATAGATTTTTATCTATATAAATGTTTTGTAATATAGTTTTATCATGATGATATTACTGTAATAACAAGGAAGATGTAAGAATTTTTTTAAAAAAAATATATATATATATATGTTGAACCACAATTCCTAAAAAAAGATAGATAGATTGATTTCGTAGGATCAAAATGATAAAATTGATAGATAGATTGTGGATCGAGGGAATACAATCAAATAAATTGAAAGGTGTGTTTGTTTACGGGTTTTAGGAGTTTGACTTAGAGTTTTAAATAATAAAATTTTAATTGAAATAATTGTTTCAGTATAATATAAATAAGTGATATTTTTTTTTCAATAATATAATATAAATGCAACGCATGACGTAGTTTCATACAATATACATACGTTACGATTGATTTCAACATTAAAAGTATATCTATATAGCACATCTGCATATTTTTACCCACAAATATATACATAATTTTTTTGTTCCAATTTAATATATACTTTTTTAATAAATTTAAAAATAATAAATATTTTATTAATTAATAAAAAATATGTAAATAATTTTAATATTGTTGTTCTTATAAATACACATGAATATTTTTTTAAAAAAAATTAAAAATTTTTTGATAACTATATATATATATATATAAGGTGTGGCAGCTAGAAAGTTGGTGGTGACATAAGTTTGATTATAATGTTGGTAATTAATTACTCACCACTCCTATTGTCCCAATAATTCAAACTTAAATAATCAACTATTTGCAACCCTAATATCTTATTTAAAAATAAAAAATAAAGCAATGAATTACAAAAGAATTGATTTATTTATTTATTTTTGCTCTAAAAATTTAAAATATAAAATTTGATATAATATATTAAACAAAAATTTGTATTTGATGTTTTATATTTTTGAAAAAAAAAAAATTATTCATAAATAACGTTGAAATGTTTTAAAAGCATAAACAAACACAACATATAAATCTTCTATATGAATTTTTAATACAAATACAATATATAAACATATGGTTATATGACAATAATCCATATAATATATAGGTTTTTTTTATTATTATTATTAATACTTTAATTGGTTTTGATTTGTTTGTTTGATTTTTTTTATTATTATTATTTTAATAACAATTTAAATAGAATAGTTTTTGAATAAAATAATACTTCGTATTTTTATAGAAAATAGCAATGCATAATTGTATCATTTTGTGTGTTTATAATTGTCGTGTTTTTATTTTTTATTTGAATAATATATTTTGTAAAAAATAATAATGTATTTTTATAAAAAAATCATAAATGTTATATATAACATAATAACTTTAATCAAAATCGAATAAAATTTTGCGTTTTGATATTTGAATAATATTTTATAAAACAAATTATTGTATTTTCATTAGAATTTTTGAGAGTTCAATAGTTAAATAATATTAAAAAATAATATAAAAAAAAACCAGAGCGAATACATGCACTTGTGTTTTGGGATATTTTAGTTTTTGGTATGCACTACCTCATAGTCTATTTTGACTGTTGGATATATTTTGGGGTACAGTCATATTTGTTTTGAATATATTATAAATACTTCCTCCGTTCGGAATTAAATATTCATTTGTTCTTTGCACGTAGTTTTAAAAATATTAGTATTATATTGTGATATAATAGAAATGAAGTAAAAATGACTAAAATAACCTTATTAGTATGTATGATATAAAGGTAATGGCATTTGTGTAATATATTGTAAATTGTAAGGGTATTTGTAATGTTAAGTAGATAGTACGGTTACTACCAAAGGAAACGAATACTTTGTTATTGGACGGACTAAAATGAAAAAATAGATACTTTGTTATGGGACGGATGTAGTATTTGTTATAATGTAATTCTAATTGCGATTGCATTTTAAAATTCTAATAAGATTATATGTAGCCAACGCCCCTGTTGGTGAACCACGTAAATTTATTTGTCAATTCATTTTATGTTATGTTATATTTATTGCATTCATCTCAATATACATTATATACATGACTATTAAACAACAACAATAATAATAATAACAAGAATACTAATACTCTTTCTTATAAAGAGGATTTTATTTTATTTTATTTTTTTAAAAATAAAATTATCGTTTTTTAATTTAATAATTGCACTATTAACTTAATATAATAAACACTTTTATAATTTATAATATAATATATACATATTATTACTTATATATTACACAATAATAGAGGTATCATTATATTTTTTTATTATAAATTAATATAATACTTCCTCCGTCCGGCTAGAAAGTATATATTTCTATTTTTTGATGTCCAATTACAAAATAACGATTTAATTAAATACCCTATTTTTTTCACAAATACATCTACTTTACATCACATCATTACTTTTATACGAAAAAAGCAAGGACAAAAATATCATTACACTACTTTTACTTACCCACAATAATTAAAATATTATTATTTCTTAAACTTTGTGCCAAAAATAAACGTATAATATTTGTTTGAACGGATGAAATATTAATATTAAAAATATTACTCTCTCTGTCCCAAAAAATATGTCTTATAAGGAGTGGACGCGAGAATTAAAAAATAATAATATTTAATTGAAAGTTAATATAAAGTAGAAGATAAAAGACTAAAATACCCTTAATTTTTAAATTATTTTAAAATATATGTTAGAGTAATAATTAAGAATACTTTAGAAAAATATGAATAATTTTATTATAAAATAAGAACTACGATTACTAAATAAAAAAATAAGACAATTGTTTTTTAGATAGACGAAAATAGAAAAATAAAACAACAACTTTGTTATGAATAGAAAGGAGTATTGTTTTATACTCCATGATACAATAGGAGTATATTATATAATAAAAATATTAAAAAGTTACTATAAATGTTATTTAAGAATAGTTTGATTATGGAATGAAATACTCCATCTCTCCAAAAATTATAGTATAAGTTGTATTTGATATGATATTTAAAAAAATACAGGTAAAAAACTTTTTTGTCTTTTGAGTGTAGTAGTGTAAAAAATAGTGAATATTGTGTAATAATAATTAAAAATAAAAAATAATAATAATATAATTATTTATAAAAATAAAACTAATTTTTTTAAGACCAATAAAAATGATAAATAAAATTATTAAAAAAAAAAAAAAAAAGAGTAAAATTAGAAGTGACAAAAGGGGGAAACTATAGGTTGCTTAAAGCTGCAAAAGTGAGAAAGGCTGCCTGACACACAAAATCTTATACTGCATGCAAATGTTTAACCATATTTCTTCAATTAATTATTTAAATTAAACACATTTATAATGATGATTTATTTGATTGTAATTTAAAATTAATTGAACTAAATTATTAATTTATATTTTTATCTAAATAATTTTTATTAGAACACGGTTGAGCCAGCTAGACAAAGCTAATGATGATTTTTTTAGAGACAAAATAGCATGCCTTGTAGGAAACAATTTCACCTCTCTCACTACTCATTAATCATCATCAACTTTGCAATACTATTGGATATGTATATACAAATTTTAATAAATATAATGTTATACTCTCTCGGTTCGTAAAGATTACTATTTATTTTTTCCAAGTAAATTTTTTAATATTAATATTATATTAAATTGTAGTAAAAAAATCAAAAATATTTTTCTTGGTATTATGTAATATAAAAGTAATAACATTTGTGTAATATAGGTTGATAATACAATTACTAAATTAGAAAATAGTAACCTTATTTTGGGACAGACGAAAATAAAAAATAATAATTTTTCAACGAGACGGAGAGAGTATAAATTTATTGTAGCATTATATATAAATATTTTATAAAAGTAAATGAATGAATGAATGAATTAATAATATGGATAATATATAAATAGTTACGTTATATTTGTATAATTATTCAGTTGGCAAAAAATAATTTATTTTTCTATAAAATTATAAAGATTGAATAATAAAAAAATAAATTTATTTATGAAAAATAATAATAAATCTATTTTACAATCAAAATAAGTTTTCGATTGAATAAAATATTATTTTTTATATTATTTATATATTTTTTTATATCTAATATTTAAAAACACTTAAAATTTAAAATACTAAACAAATACTTTAGTTTTTTTTTTTTTAATGCTCACTCCATATCACTCATAAGATGTAAGACACTATTTGCAATTTTTTATCATACAAATACAAAGTATTTATTTTTATTTTTAGTAATGTTAAATTTTATTATATATTACAAATATTACTTCCTCCGTTCCGTTGGAATAGTGGCGTTTGTTTTCTGTGCGTAGATTTTTTAATATTAGTATTATATTATATTATAGTAAAAAAGACAAAAATATCCCTATTAGTATGGTGTAATATAAAAGTAATGACATTTGTGTAATATATTGTAAGTTTGAAAGAATATTTATTATGTTAAGTAAGTAGTACAATTACTAAATTAGGAAATGGTAACCTTATTTTAAGACGTACGAAAATGAAAAATAATTTTAATGGGACGGAAAAAGTATTAAATTTATATTTAGTTATATTGGTATCATAAAACTAATTTACACATCAGAAATAAAATAATTTTTACAACTATCATTTGAATATCATAAAGGAATTAAGTAATATTTTAAATTCAATAATATATATATATAGATAGATAGATCAAAATAATATGTTATTCAAATTATTAATTTCAAAACCAACCGTTTCTGATATTCAATAAAAATTTTCAGTAAATATATTCCACAAAAAAATATATTCCCGCTTATGTGTACCATTCAACTGATTATATAAATATAGATATAATTAATCTCATTTAATTTGGGTTTCATAAATGATAAATGCACAGAATTAACTAGAAATACGGTTTTTTTTTTTTTTCCCGGAACACGTGTCGCAACTCTAGTGGAGGATATTATTGAATTGCAGCTGTCGGTGCTCCGTAATCGTAACCCACAACAGTCGGGTCGGGTTGGGCCGGTACGGGTAATTGTGGACCCTACCCTAAGTTAGAATAACGGAAAAGACTATCATGCCCTTAGATAACTGACCGTCAATGTCGGATTCGGACAACCATAGATAGCGCGGGCAGAGTAATGGAATCTTTTGGGCACGCTGTCCTACTTCTAATTAAAGATTTTTATTTAATTATTTGGAATTTGAATTCAAAAACTGAGTGAATTGATATTATTATTTATCATTTTCTGAAATAAATGTATGAATCTTTTAATAGCATATTTTGTTGTAAGTCAATAGAAAATAATTTATGGTGTATTTGTTTGGGGTTTGAATTTTGGATTGAGATTTGAATAGTAAAAATTTTGAATTTAAATAGTTGTATGATATGATATAAATAGGTATTGATGCGATATTTTGAATGTAAAATTGATTTTTAGTATTATATAAAAAATGAAAAATAAGGGTTTGATTTGATGTTTTTGGAAGAAAAAATTGGATGAATAGATGGATTTAAATCCAATCCTCCAAACAAACACACCCTAGTATTTGTTTGTATTGTGGATATTTTAAATAAAAATAAAGACTTTGTTAGTGTGTTTATCTAATATTATAGATGAATATTATAATAACTAACATGATATATACATATACTTATAAAAGATATAATTTATATATATAATATCAAATTAAAAAAATATATTTTTTAATATCTTCAATTTTCTAAAAAAAAAAAAATTAAAACATTTATGTAAACGATTCGACAAAGATTGATGATATTTAAAAGTAAATTTTCAAAATTTCAATAAATCAGATATATTTACTAGAGATCTTTGAAAATTGGACATGAATCAATTATTATACATTTTTATTATTTTTTTAATAATAAGATACTTCATTCATTCCAATTAAAATAGTCTTATTTATCATTTTTGTCCATCTCAAAACAATAGTCTTGTTTTCATAAATAATCATATCACCTTAAAACTACCTCTACTTTTTCATTTTTATTACACAATTGCTCCTATTTTTTACACTAATACACTCACAAGGGCAAAAAACAAATTTTATCCATATTTTTTACACACTATCAATATAATATCAATATTTCTTAAATCTCGTGCCAAATCTAATTAAAATAATATTTATGGTACGAAAGGAGTACTATTTACTATGAACATTATACATGCATTGTATATAGTAATGCAGATTTTTTACTTTCATTATTATTTATTTATTTATTTATTTTATTATTATTATGGACATGGGAGATATATGATAATAATGATCTATACTCAATGATGTAATTCATAATTGCTTTACATAATTATTTATACCAATAATTTGTTTACTTGATAATATTATGTATTCTCTCCATCTCAGTATGAATGTTTGGGTCAGTGTAGACACTAGAATTTAAGATAAGTATAATTAGTAAATAATAAAAAATATATTAGTAAAAATAATTATATTATAATATAAATAATTATAAATTAAGGTTAAATTAGCTTAATTAAAACTAAAAACAAATTAATCAAAATTTTTAAAATGATATTAAAATATATAATCATTTTTTTAAAAAAAAAAATGACATGAGATGTGAGACGGACATAAACGGTGTGGTCATAGTAGACGGGACGGAGGGAGTAATACTTATCTCGCAATTTATAATACCTTAAGATAAACTAGCCTAAAATGATTAACAATAATAGTATCATCCCATTTTATTTGTTTATTTTTCTATCAAACATCTTTAGTGATTTTGCAGTATTTGATTTTTAGCCTAAAATCAAACGTTTGATTTTTTTATTTTTTTTTGAGATGTAGTTTGAGATCAAATAGTTTTCAATATAATATTATTTCCTTAGTTTCTTCGTTACGGGTCTGTTATTAAATTTTAATTATTTCAAGATGAAATAGTTCTTAATTAATCAATATTTCCAATAATAATAACAATATTAAATAAAAAAAAAATGATAAAGAAATAAGTGAAAAACAGAATAAAGGCTTAACAATAACAAATTGAAAGCAAGCTTACAAACGCTTACATGGAGGCAACGGAGCTCCACAGAGCTGAGGATTTCCGGCGAACGCCGACGCCGGAATCGGCTTCTTATGCGGCGGTATCCTCCCGCTCAACTTATTCTCCGAAACGTCGAACTTCTGCAGATATTCCAGGTTCATTACCTCCTCCGGGATTTCCCCACGCAGATCATTTCTCGACAGCAAAAGCGTTTCCAGGTTCCCAGCACTGCCGATCTCCGCCGGAATCCCGCCGGAAAGTCCATTCCCGACGAGTTCCAGCACCCGCAAGTAGCTCAACTTCCCCAACACTTTTGGTATACGTCCTTCCAACGGATTGCCCGACAGAATCAGGGATTCGACAAAATCCAGGGCACCAGGTTCTTCCCCAATTCCGGCGTCGATGTCGCCGGAAAACATGTTCCCGGAAAGATCGACGGAGTCGTAATGGCCCCTCGCGAACTCCGACGTCTTCGAGAATATCGGTTTCAAGCTCCCCGACAGGTTGTTCGAGTGGAGGTCGATATCTGAGAGCACAGTCAGGTTCTTGAACTCGTCAGGGATCGAGGAATGGAATCCGTTGCCGGATAAATTTAGCGACGACAGGCTCGTCATGTTCCCGATCCAGGCCGGAAGTTTCCCCGTCAGATGATTGCTCGATAAATCGAGCGTCGATATCGACGAAGAGGCGAGCCACGCCGGGATCGAGCCTTCGAGCCCTGTCCCGGTGAGGAGAAGTCGAAAGACTCGTAATTTCTCGAACCAATCGGGTACGGTTTTCAATCGTAACGGATTGAAAGAAAGATCCAAACTTTGTAAATTTTGCAGCTTCGTAATCCCGGAGGGGATCGCGCCGGTCAGCTTGTTCTTCGACAAATCCAGGGTTTGTAAATTTTCCAGGTTTTCGATCTCCGGTGGGATTCGACCGGTTAATTGGTTATTCGAGAAGTACATATCGGTAAGCGCTGTGAGATTTCCGATTGCCGGAGGTATATTTCCGGCGAGCCTATTGTTCTCGAAAACCAGGCTCCGAATCTTCGGCAGGCTGCCGATTGACCCCGGAATGTCACCTGTCATCCTGTTGTTCGATAACCGGAGAAATTGCAACGACGATAGCCCATCAACGGACCTCGGGATTCTCCCAGAGATAAAGTTGCTGTTTACGTCGAATTCCTCGAGCCTCGACAGGCGACCGATGGATTCGGGCATGGCTCCGGACAGCTGGTTTTCGGACAGGTCGAGACGTACGAGGTTTCCGAGTTCTCCGATCGATTCCGGTATGCTGCCCGAGAAATTGTTCCCGTGGAGATCGAGGTCAGTGAGCGAGACCATTTTAGACATCAACGATGGCAATATACCCGACAGGCGGTTGTCCGAGAGCCCCAAATGGAGAAGTGACGTAAAGTTATCGAAAAGGGACGGCGGGACGGGGCCGGAGAGGCGGTTATTTCCGAGATACATGTCTCGCAACCGTGTTAGCTTCCGGAAGGTATCGGGGATTGGTCCGGCGAGGTTGTTGGAATCGAGAAATAGGGAATGTAGGTTCGAAAGGTGTCCTAATTCGGGCGGGATGCGGCCGTGGAGCCGTTTAAGGTTGTTGAGATCGAGGACGCGGAGCGCGGTGAGGTTTGCGAGGAATGGTGAGATTTTTCCGGACATCAAGGTGTCGACGGGGGAGTCGGAGGGGTCAGTGAAGACTCCTGGAATGGAAACCACCAGAACCCGTGAAGAGAGGGGGTGGCAAGAAATGCCCCTCCAATGGGTGCAACAATTTGTACTAGAATTCCATGTAAGAAGAAGATTTGAAGGGTCATAAGTGATCATTTTCTTGAAATGAAGAAGGGCTTGTTTGTCTATGGGGTGACAACTTAGGGCATTTGAATTTGGGGTGAAAAGGATGGTGAAGAGGAAGATGATGATCATCAAGATTTTGGGATTTTCTTGAATGTTGTTGTGGGATAGGGCCATTGATGGTTTTTGGTTGTTTTTGGGGTTTAATGTTTGTGTGAGAAGAAGGGTTTTTAATTTTTGTGGGTGGGGTGGGTGGATGTGGGGTGGTTGGGGGGGGGGGGGTGGGGGGTGTGTGAATGTGGCATTTTTTTTGACTTGATTATGATTAGGGTTTGTTACAAATCATGTGAAGGATGGAATTTGGCAATGAATGTTAGGGGGAGAGGGGTTGGGTCACACGTTTAAAGTGAATTTTTTAGGACCTAATTTTTATTTTTCTTCTTTTTTAAAAATTAAATAAATATATCGAATAGAAGGTTCCGTTTACAATTTTTTTTTTTTTAGTTTTGAATTTATAGTATTTATAAATATATTTTTTTAAAAAAAATTCAATCAAATATTTATTTATTTTTTCTACCAAAATATTAATTAAATATATATTTTTTTAAAAAAAAATCATTTAAACTCCAAAGACCTTTACTAAAACTAATGTTCTGAAATAAAATTAAATTTAAGAATTAATATTTTTAAATATAAATAACTATTTCATATATAATATATACAAAATTTTGTGTATATATACATGGTTTGTTTAGTTGTGGATTCAAATTCATTTGAAATAAAATATATTTAAATTTTTATTTAAATAATAGTATGTTAATATGATATTTTATATATATAAAAAAAATAGTATATATACATATATATGGACATATTGAGCTTGAGAATTTGTTTATTTTAATAGTACATTTTAAAAAATATTATACTCCTCTCTCCAGCTAGAAAGTATACATGTTTCTATTTGGGACGTTTAGTTACAAAGTAAACATTTCATTAAATACGTTACTTTTTTCCACAAATACCCCTACTTTACATCACATCATTACTTTTACACCAAAAAAGCAAGGGCAAAAATATCGTTATACTACTTTTAACTATCCACTATAATTAAAATACTATTATTTCTTAAACACCGCGTCAAAAGTAATTGTATATTTTTTTTTTGTGGACGGAGGGAGTATTTATGTTATTATTGAATTGAAAATAATTGAATATGAGTTATAAATTAGAAACAAACACGTAATGGTTAGTTAGTAATTAATTGGGTCTGATGATTTGCTTCTACGCTACTTCTTCTTAAAGCTTTGTTGTCATTTAATTACATTCACATGTAATGTAGTAATTGTAACTTTCGATTACATTTGTTGTTCGGACACCCAAAATGGATTAATTGACCATATACCAAAAATAAATAAATTAATGTTTATACTATTTATTCATAATAATATGTTTTTTTAAAAAAAATTAGTATTAGAAATATGAGATGATAATAAATTAATCGGAGAAGACAGTCTTTTTTTTGCTGAGCAAATTACAAATGTAAAGACTTTGTTATATCTGTTCGGTGTATCCGTATTACTATGGACCTGAATCGGATAATCAGTATTCCATTATATATTATTTTAATATTAAATTCAAAACAATTTTTTTTAAAAAAATTATAAAAAAAATATATAACCTAACTTAATAGGCCATTTGTAGGTTTTTTTTTTTTCTTCGGAACACAAGTTTTGGTTAAATATATGTTTGTTTGGGTATTTAGATTTTGAGTTGGGATTTGAATAGTAAAAATTTTGAATTTGAATAGTTGTATGATGTGATATAAATAAGTGTTGACGTGATATTTTGAATGTAAAATTGATTTTTAGTATAATATAAAAAATAAAAAATAAGTGTTTAATTTAATATTTTTTTTTAAAAAAAATAAAATAAATAGTGAAAATCTAATCAAATCACCAAACAAACACACTCTAATTTGGATTTTGAGTTGAGATTTGAATAGTAAAAATTTTGAATTTGAATAGTTGTATGATGTGATATAAATAGGTGTTGATGTGATGTTTTGAATGTAAAATTGATTTTTAGTATAATATAAAAAATGAAAAATAGGTGTTTGATTTGATATTTTTGGGGGGAAAAAATGAAATGAATAGTAGAAATCTTTACAAATTTTTCAAACAAACACACCCTAAATGTTATGTTTACTTTTGAAGCATAATATAATAATTTATATCGACAGGCCTCCTGGTATAAGTAGAATATTCTAATGGGCCCAAAGTTGAATTAAATTTAATGGGCTTACTTGGCTGAACGGTGTCCTATTTAATTTATGGTGTATTAATTCAACAAAATATTAATTAAACAAAAAATAATAATAATAATTACAAAATATTATTATTTACCATACTTTTTCATATCTAACTTAAAAAAAAATATACTAGAAAATTAGAACACTAAATTTGAATTAATTAAAATTTCACTGTTATTATAATTATTTTAGGGTTTAGGGATATCAGCAAACATGATCGTAAAGAACTAATTATATCATTATATGGTAAAATCAAATTTTTATTTCTAATTAAATATAGCCAAACACGGCCTTAAGTAACTAATTTTTCCGTTAAATTAAATTTTCATTGATAAAAAATCGCGTGTAATCATCCCGGAAGATTTTGTTTTTAAAAAAAGATCTTTATAATAAGTGATTTGACCGTTAAAATAAAATTTCTTTCCAAATATAACTACTAGTATTATTATTTATTTATTTAACGACTCTTGTTATAATAAGTATGAATGAAAAATGTTTGCGAGAGACTCCTCATCTCTACTCCGTTCTTCGTCGTCGTTCGTCGTCCCCTCAGGGTTTTAAGGTTTGGAGGCGACCAAATATTGCGGTTTTATGGTAATTAGCTTTTTTTTTGTTTTTGTTTTTGTTTTAAAAAGCCTTTTTATTAATCTCTTGATTGACGATCGATTGCTTTCGTCTTTAATTTCTCTGCAATTTGCTCGGTTCAGGTATAGTAATTAGGGTTTCGTGTTTTAGTAAACATTTTTAATTTCGATTGATTGCCTTTTTAACTTCTGTGCAATTTGCTAGGCCAGATACTACGGTTCTATAGTAATTAGGGTTTTTGGTTTTAAAATACCTTTTTAATTTCTTGATTGACGATTGATTCTTTTCGCTTTTAACTTCTCTGGAATTTTCATGGATACTGTGGTTGTATAGTAAGCAGAGTTTCTTGTTTTAAAGAATAGTTACTTTTAAAGTTGATGCGAATGCTATTGAAATCTCATCCATTTCCTCTGCAAGTGCGTGGCTAATGCCTCTATATGTTGGGAACGGAAGTTAATCATGCTGCTGTTGTTGTTGTCGCATGTCTAGCTTTGCTGTCGGTACCTTCTCTCTCTCTCTCTCTCAAGGATTGAAGTTTGTTGTCATGCCTCGGCATTCAAAACTCTGCGGATAGCCACACTGATTAACGAGCAATCGACTGACAAGCAGCAACCGCTAGCTGGTGGTGGCGTTCTACGAGTTTCGCAGTGAAATTCACCCGGTGACTTTTTAATTTCTTGATTGATGATTGATTGTTTTTTGTCTTTTAACTTATATGCAATTAGCTTGGTTAGATTTGTTTGTTCTCAGGTTTTGAAGATCGGAATGGGGAGGAAAGACCTGTTCTCAAGTTAATACGGATTCGACCTGATATTCTGGTTTTATAGTAATCAGGTTTCTTGTTTTAAAAAATCTTCTCTAATTTCTTGATTGACTATTGATTGTTTTTGCCTTTTAACTTCTCTGCAATTTCCACAGGTTTCTTGTTTTAAAAAATCTTTTCTAATTTCTTGATTCACTATTGATTGTTTTTGCCTTTTAACTTCTCTGCAATTTCCATGGTTCCTTTTGAAGGGGTTAAATGCTTTCAAAGTTTGTTTTGATGAAAGAATGAACATGTTCTACTTTAATTCATAATTTTCACAAACTTGTTTTTAAAAATCTTTCTAATTTCTTGATTGACGATTGATTGTTTTGGCCTTTTTAACTTCTCTGCAATTTCCGTGGTTCCTTTTGAAGGGGTTAAATGCTTTCAAAGTTTGTTTTGACGAAAGAATGAACATGTTCTACTTTAATTCATAATTTTCACAAACTTGTTTTTAAAAATCTTTCTAATTTCTTGATTGACGATTGATTGTTTTTGCCTTTTAACTTCTCTGCAATTTCCATGGTTCCTTTTGAAGGTGTTAAATGCTTTAAAAATTTGTTTTGATGTAAGAATGAACATGTTCTACTTTAATTCATAATTTTCACAAACTTGTTTAAAAAATTTTAAACTATCCGTTCACCTATCTTTTCCAAACTATTCTATATTTTTCTTATAGATTGATTTTCACGAAGTTGTTAAATGACGTTCTGTTGGGTGGGGTCTTTTGAAGGTGTTAAAATGCTTTTAAAGTTTTTATCTTGATGAAAGAATGAACATAATATTTTTCACAGAATCTGTTCAATAATTTTAAACTATCCGTTCACCCATCTCTTCCAAAGTATTCTATATTTTCTTATTTTTATTAATAGGAGACCAAACAACTCATTTTTCTCTGAATACAAAATTCTTTTAAATCCTATTTTTAATCTTCAATTTTATTACTTACTTTATTATCTTTTGACGTAGTTTACTGTATTACATTCCTCTTCTCCTGGGACCAGGAATAAAAAATTTATTCACTTTGGGGCTGGGACTGTGGTTGGGTCTGGTTTTGGGTCCGATATTAGGTCTGGTTTGAGATTGCGTCTCGATCTGGTTCTGGTTCGATTTATGTCTGGATCCGGGTCTGGGTCTGGGTACGAATTTGGTGAGGGTCTGCTCCTGGGTTCGGGTCTGAGTTCCGGTCTGGGTTTGGCTTGGATTGGATCTGGTTTACTTCTGGGTCTAGATCTGGGTCGGGTCTGGGCTTGGGCCTGGGTCCGAGTTTGGGTGTGGTCTATGGCCTGTTCGTGTTTGGGTCTGGCTAAGTCTGGGTCAGGGTCAGGATCTGGGTCTAGTCTTGTTCTGGATCTGGTTCGGGTCGGGCTCTAGGCCTGCCTAGCTTTGGTTCTATTCCTATTGGTTCCATTTCAGGAAATATGGTTTGCCATATTGTGTTGTTACAATGACACTTTTGAGGGGCATCTATATCTATATATATATATATATATATATCTGGTTTTAATTATATATTTTTCTTATAGATTGATTTTCACGAAGTTGTTAAATGACGTTCGCTTTTAAAGTTTTATTTTGATGAAAGAATGAGCATGTTTTTACTTAATATATTTCACAAAATCTGTTCAAAAATTTTAAACTATCCGTTCACCCATCTCTTCCAAAGTATTCTATATTTTCTTATTTTTATTAATACGAGACCAAACAATTCATTTCTCTCTGAACACAAAATTCTTTCAAATCCTATTTTGAATCTTCAATTTTATTACTTACTTTATTATATTTTTGACGTAGTTTTACTGTATTGCATTCCTCTTGTCCTGGGACCAGGAATAAAAAATATATTCACTTTGGGCTGGGACTGTGGTTGGGTTTGGTTTTGGGTCCGATATTAGGTCTGGTTTGAGATTGGGTCTCGATCTGGTTCTGGTTCGATTTATGTCTGGATCCGGGTCTGGGTCTGGCTACGAATTTGGTGAGGGTCTGCTCCTGGGTTCGGGTCTGAGTTCGGGTTTGGGTTTGGCTTGGATTTGGATCTGGTGTACTTCTGGGTCTAGGTTTGGGTCGGGTCTGGGCTTGGGCCTGGGTCTGAGTTTGGGTGTGGTCTATGGCCTGTTCGTGTTTGGGGCTGGCCTGGGTCTGGCTAAGTCTGGGTCTGGGTCAGGATCTGGGTCTAGTCTTGTTCTTGGTCTGGTTCGGGTCGGGCTCTAGGCCTGCCTAGCTTTGGTTCTATTCCTACTGGTTCCATTTCAGGAATTATGGTTTGCCATACTGTGTTATACAGATTGATTTTCACTTAGTTGTTACAATGACACTTGAGGGGCATCTATATATATATCTGGTTTTAATCCTTTGGCTTCATGCATTACAAATAGCTGCGTCATAGACTTTGGATGAACTCAACTGAACATGATTTCAATTTATTTGTTTATTTTTCTTTAAGTGCATCCATTCCTCTTAGCTGTTAAATGACTTTTGAATTGAATTTGTTTGTTTCGTTATTCACCGACCTGCAATTTTCTGTGTGTATTTATATACCAATTTGTTTGCTTTTTTGGGGATTACTGCTCTGGTTTGGTGTGATTTTTATTCGTTCTGGTTAAGGAATTAGGGTTGATAATGTGTAAGGGAGGAAAATTGGATAGAACTTAGAAGTGGTTAATGTAGGAGCTTACAGCATATTTGCAGTAATTTTTTTGTGGAAAAAGAATACTTACTTTTAAAGTTTCTGCTAATGCTATTGGAATCTCATCCATTTCCTCTCCAAGTGTGTGGCTCTACTGCCTCTATATGTTGGGAACCGAAGTTAATCATGCTGCTGTTGTTGTCGCATGTCTAGCTTTGCTGCCGGTACCTTCTCTCTCTCTCTCTCAAGGATTGAAGTTTGTTCTCATGCCTCGGTATTATTTTCTCTGCAGATAGCCACACTGATTAATGAACTATCGACTGACAAGCAGCAGCCACTAGTTGGTAGCGGCGTACTATGAGTATTGCTGTGAAATTCACACGGTAACTAATCGCACCTCCAATCTCGCTGTGAGATCAAATATCTGGTACTGCTCTGTTTTTCTCTAGGTTAATTTTGGATTTACGTTGGGGATTGATTGAGGTAAGTTCTGTTGGAATTGAATTTGTTTGTTTCGTTATTCACCGACCTACAAGGTATACAGGGATAATAATGTGGACAGTTTATCTGTAAGGGAGGAAACTTGAATGGAACTTAGAGTGGTTAATGTAAGAGCTTACATCACACACTTGCAGTTACTTTTGTCGCATGTCCAGCTTTGCTGTCTGTTCTCTCTCTATCTCTCAAGGATTGAAGCTTGTGTGTGTTACTGTATGTGTTGGTTTTTGTTTTTGTTATTGTTTGTATTTTTTGCATATATATTATTTTAATTTTACGTTTGTGTTTGTGTATGTGTTTGTTACTGTTTGTTATTGTTATTGTTTGTGTTTTTATTTTTTTTGTAATTGTTATTGTTTGTGTTTGTTTTTTTTACTGTTTGTGTATTTGTTTTTGTAATTGTCTATCTTTGTGCTTTTGCTTTTTTGTTAATGTTTGTGTTTGTGCTTGTGCTTGTATTTGTGTTTTTGTTGTTTGTTATTATTTCTGACTGTTATTGTTTGTGTTTGTTTCTGCTTATGTTATTGTTTTTGTTTGTGTTTTGTGTTCGTATTATTGTTTTTCATTTTTGTTTGTGCTCGTTCAGTAGGGATTTGACAAGATCTTTTGTAGTTTTATAGGAATTAAGGTGTTTGTTTTTAAAAAATCATTTTAATTTCTTTATTGACGATTGATTGTTTTTGCCTTTAATTCCTTTGTAATTTCCATGGGTCCTTCTGAAGGTGTTAATGCTTTAAAAGTAATATTTTGATGAAACAATGAACACATTTTTACTTCATTTCATAATTTTCACAAAACTTGTTTAAAAAAATTCTAAACTATCCTTTCACCGATCTTTTCAAAACTAGCCTGGGCCGAGGTCTGAGTTTGGGTGAGGTCTATGGCCTGTTTGTGTTTGGATCTGGTCTGGGTCTGGTTAAGTTGGGGTCTAGTCTTGGTCTTGGTCTTGGTCTGGTTTGTATCTAGGTCTGGGCCTGGGCCTGGGCCTGGGCCTGCCTAGCTTTGGTTCATAGGGGCCTGCCTATTGGTTCCATTTCAGAAAATATAGTGTTCGCAGGGGCCTTTTGAAGGAGTTAAATACTTAAGAGTTCTATTTTGATGAAACAATGAACATGTTTTTACTTTAATTCATATTTTTGACAAAGCTTGTTTCAAAAATTTTAAACTATCGTTCACTGTTCCTTTTCAAATTATCCGTCGGTCTTTTCCAAACTATTCGATATTTTTCTTATCTTCTTTATACGAGACAAAATAACTCATTTGTTCTCTGCATACAAAATTCTTGTAAATCCTATCTTTAATCTTCAATTTATTATTACTCATCTTCTTCCATTATTCACTCGGGGGCTGTGGCTGTGTTGGGTTTGGTTTTGGGTCCGAGATTAGGTCTGGTTTGAGATTTGGGTCTGGATCCAGGTCTGGCTTGATTTATATCTGGGTCAGGGTCTGGTACGAATTTGGTCTGTGTCTGCACCTAGGTTCGGGTCTGAGTTTGGGTCTGGATCTGGTTTACTTCTGGGTCAGGTCTGGGCCGAGGCCTGGGTCTTCGTTTGGGTGTGACTGTTTGGGTCTGGTCTGAGTCTGGTTAAGTCGGGGTCTGGATCTGGGTCTAGTCTTGTTCTTGGTCTGGTTTGGGTCCGGGCCTGCCTAGCTTTCTTTTTATGCCTATTGGTCCCATTTCAGAAATTATAATTGTCACGTCGTGTTGGGTATTTGTCCTGCAAATTAATTCACTGGGTTTTTAAAATGACGTTTTGGTGGGGGACATCTATATATATATTTATGTATCTGTTTGTGATCCCTTGGCTGCATGCTTACAAATAGCTGCGTCATAGACTTTGGATGAACTTCACTAAACATGATTCCAATTTTTTTATTTATTCAATTTTATATATTTTTCTTTATGTGCACCCATTCCTTTAGTTGTTAAATGATAATTGAAGTTGTTTGTTTCGTTATTCACCAGCCTCCAATTTTTCTGTGTGTGCTTATTCACCTATTTTTTTTATTCTTTTTTTGGGGATTAATGCTCTGGTTTGGTTTGATTTTTATCCATTCTGTTTTAGGAATTATGGATGACAATGTGGAAAATTGCCTCTTTGGGTTTATTGTTATTTTTTGTGTTTTGGTTATTGTCTATGTTTGTGCTATTGTTTGTTTGTTTGTGCATGTGTTTTTTTAATTTATTTGTATTTTTGTTTTTGTTGTTTGTTATTCTTTCTTACGATTGTTTGTGTTTTTGTGTTATTGTTTTCATTTTTGTTTGTGCTTGTTTCTGTTTTGGTTTTGGTTTTTGTGTTTGTGGTTCTGTTTGTTATTGTTATTGTTAATGTTTGTGTTTGTATTTGTGTTATTATTGTTATTGTTTGCGTAATTGTTTTGTTTTTGTTTTTTGCTTCTGTTGTTTTTGTGATTACTATTGTTTTTGTTTTGTGTTTGTATGTGTTCTATATTTTTTATTGTTATTGTTATTGTTATTGCTTGTGTGTGTGTTTGTTTGTTATTGTTTTTGTTTTTGTGTACGTTGTGTGTTTGTGTATGTGTTTTATTTTTGTAATTGTTATTGTTTGTGAATTGTTATTTTATGGTTATTGTTAGTGTTTGTGTTTGTTTTTGTTATTGATAGTCTACTTCTGAGATTAATTTTACTCAAGCTAGCAAGAATTGCATGATTTGGTTTAGATCATCAAGATTGCTTGTGAACTCAACTCACATGTCAAACAATAGCTAACTTATTCTGAGCATTGCTGCATGTTTTTGCTTGATTTTGAGTGAATAGTGCTGTTGATCTTTATTCAACAAAGCATGGGACCAATTCCTTTGCTCCTTTATTTGATCAAGGAAGACCTGCTTTCCAAGTATGAACTTTAAATCATTTATTGACCTACTAGTTTAATCAAGATCGATTGATCAGGTTGTGTATCTTTTCTCTAATCAGTTGATTTCTATTTGTACTTTTAAATCTTCACTTCTAACTCAGATTTATTCAACTTACACATATGAATCTGTGATATGGAGCTTTCGTATGTGCCATGGTTGAAGGCATTCAACTGTAGTTGCTGCTTGAAGACTGGACATACGATGGATTGGAATTCTTTAAACACAGAAAATGGAAAGTATTTGCTATTAAATCTCTCAAATTCATGCATTCAAACGGTGCATTTATATGTTCATTCATGCATTATTTTTATTTTTGAATTTTATAACAATTTTTTCTTTTCATGTTTTACGTAGGACTGGTGTCTGATCAAAAGAAAGTGAGTTTCTCTTATTTATTTTTTCCTATTGATATTTAAAACAAAAATATTTACCAGAAGCATTTGATTGGACATTAGTTAGCAGAGGCATTTGATTGGACTTTCGGCTTGAGAGACTGCACATCCAATAGAATGGAGTTGTTCAAACGCATGAAAAATCAGCAAGTATCCACAAACTAATCTCTTAATTTCTTGTATTCATTCATGCATAGATGCATTTTATTTATACATTACTTTTATATGGGCATCCACATTTTTTTTTAGTGTTAGTATTACTGTTATTACTATTAGTATTTGTATTGGTATTATTAGTATCATTAGTTTTAGTTCTAGCAATATTATTATCAGTTGTAGTGATTGATTGCTTTCGCTTTAACTTCCCTGTAATTTCCATGAGCCCTTTTGAAGGTGTTAAATGCCTTAAAAGTTCTATTTTGATGAACCAATCAACACGTTTTTACTTTTAAGTTTTAATTCATATTTTTAACAAAACTTGTTTAAAAAATTTTAAACTATCCATTCGCCAATTTTTTACAAACAATTCTATATTTTACTCATCTTCTTTATATGAGATAAAATAACTCATTTTTTTGATACAAATCTTATTTTTGATCTTCAATTTTATTATTAGTCATTTTCTACCATTTTATGTAGTATTACTGATTTACTGTATACATTACTCTTGTTGGAGCTACCAGGAATAAAAAAATTAATTCACTCTGGGGCTGTGGTTGGGTCTGGATCCGGTTCTGATTCGATTTGTCTGGATCTGGTTTACATCTCGGTCTGGGTCAGGCCTAGGCCTAGATCTGGTTCAGTCAGTGTCTGGATCTGGGTCTAGTCTTGTTCTTGGTCTGGGCCAGGGTAACTTTGTTTTTATGCCTATTTGTTTGTTTCGTTGGTTGTTCACCATATACCCAATTTGTTTGACTTTTTGGGGATTACTTTTAAATCTTCACTTGTAACTCACAGTTCTTCAACTTGTGGTTAGGTTGAAGTCATTCGAAAGACTGCACATTCCATGGATTGGAATTATGTAATGTAAACATATGGATAATTGGGAAGTATTCGCTTTTTAATCTCTCAAAAACTCATATGCTATTGTTTTTATTTTTGAATTGTATAATAACAAAATTTTCTTCTCATGTTTTCTGTAGGAGATGAGATAGATGCAAAGGAATTTTAAACCAATTGGGCTTCCACCAATACAAAGTGAGTTTCTCTTATTAATTTTCTTTTAAATTAATATTAAAAACAAAATTAGATGTTTTTGGTGAACGTGTAAAAATATTTTTGTTTGATATTTAAAACTTTTTATTTTTATAAAATTAATTATTTGTATCGTTAAAAAATAAGTATTTTTTTAGTTATTTGTATATTAAAAGATTTTATTTTTATAAAATAATATCTATATTATATATTTTTTTATTAAGAAGTAATTTTTAAAATGTTTATATATTTATTTTAAATTTTTAATCATATCAATTATTATCTTAAAATTATTAATAATACCATTTATATAAAATAATAAAATTATATTATTTAAGTTAATTAATTACTATAATATAAATAATAATATTATAATATTTTAAAAAAATAAAATATTATTTTGTTCATTTATTTAAGTAATACTTTTCTTATTTTTACTTATCGGCATTTATAATTAGAGATATATATTTATGTGTGAACATGCTTATATATATTTTATAATATTAGTTAAAAATTGTATAGATATTTTCTTTTAAAATTGAATGAACATATTAAAAATAATAAAATAGTTAGTTATTTTTTGTACGAATGGATATAATATGAATAATATGTTTTAATATGAGTGTGTATTTTTTTATAGTAAAAAATATAGAGAATAATATGATTTTTTACTAAAGAAAAACAAAAATATTTTTTATTAAAAAAATATAAATTTAGAAAACAAAATGAAAATACTTTTAAAAGATAAGACAAACAAAAAAAAAGTGAACATAATTTTAAGACAGAAGGAATTATATTTTATATATGTATATAAAAATTAATTTAAATTTTTACTATCATTTAATTGTTGTATTGTTAACATATTTATTTGTTCAATTATCAAATTAAGTTTTTTTTTTTTATTATTATTATAATTTCTGTTTTAAAAAATAACGTTTACACATAATTAAATTGAAATATATTAGAAATGATAGGAATTAAAACTTAGGGGGATTGTTTATTTTGAAGAATGATATTATATTTCAATGGATTATATGATTACGAATAACATAAATTTCTTAGCTAGATTAATTTCATAATTAACATATTAGTGTAGCAAATTTTAATGAAAACCGAATTTTATTTCATTATAGTAGTGCTTCGGTTGTGGTGCCAACGCCTTAGAAGTTAGCAGTGCGGTGATTTTTCAAAAAAGTAAAAATTAGATGTCTAGATAGCATCAATTTTTAGTGCTAACATAATGCTTTGTGAAGTAAGAGAGATGTGCTATAGGTTTATTTTTTAAAATGATGTTCTAAAAATATATATATATATATATATATGATATTTTATTGAAATATGTCTTGTGCTTATATTGTATTGTTAGTTTTTCAAGTAACGTCAACTTAAGAGGTGATAATACTGATCAATAATTCAAAAATCCGTCTAATATACTCTTTTCATTTCATAACAATTGATACGTTATTAATTTTTTTTAGGAGATTGACAATTTTAAATATATTTAATAAGTGTTACTTAATTAAATTTATCACATTTTATTTTTAGGGAAAAGATCAATTTTAGTCTCAATATAAAAAACTTAATAATAATGTGTTTGTTTGAGAAATTGGATTTTAAATGCACTATTCATCTCATTTTTTCCTCCCTAAAAAATATCAAATCAAACACTTATTTTTTATTTTTTATATTATACTAAAAATTAATTTTACATTCAAAACATCACATCAATACCTATTTATATCACATCATACAACTATTCAAATTCAAAATTTTTACTATTCAAATTATAACTCAAAATTCAAACCTCCAAACAAAAACACCCTTATTTTAATCTTATTATAAATAATTTCAAATAATTTTGGTCTCATTATAACTAATTTCAATCAATTTTGACATAATTATAAACAATTTCAATCAATTTTAGTTCCATTGTTAAAAAACTAACAGAAATTCCCGACGCAATCTACCACGTCACCTCCGTTATGTTTATGTTAGCAATTTTCGTTAATTTTTTAATTATGAAACCAAAATTAATTGAATTTTTTTATTAAAATTGATATATATATATTTTTTATATTGAAACTAAAATTAATTTTTTCTTTTATTTTTAATATCTCACAAATAAATAAATAAATAATTTTTTTTTTATCAAATTTTGGTGAGAAAAAATATGCTCTTCTGAAATTTGATTTAAACTATATTATGTGAATTATATTTTCAATAAATTGTGGACCAGTTTGAATATAAGCTTGTCCTTTAATTTTATTGCCACTGAATTCTTGGACAAAGGACAGACCAGTAACTTTACATTAAAAATAAAATAAAAAATAATAATAATATAGTGATGAAAGCCACGTGAATAAGTGTTCACATGACACTCAATCTAGCACTGTCCTTCACTTTCTTCGCCACTACACTAAATTACACGCACATATACTATAATTATATTTTATTTATTTTACGAGTTCAATTTTAAATTTATGTTAATTGGTAACTGTTATTTTTATTCATGTTCACTTTAAAAAATACTATAATATACTTAAGTTGGTTTACTCTGTGTTTTTTCAGTGGTATAGTTATTAATAAATATAAAAAACATATAATATATATTTTATTCTATTAAAAAAATTAATAATTTAATAAATATTATTTTTGTATAGTACTCAATAATCATACCTAAAATAAAAATATAGAGATTTATAAACAAAAATTAAACACAATACATACTTAGTAATAATAAAAATTAATAAAAATATTATATTTTATTCTTACAACAAACTATAAAAACTATACAAATGCAATATTTCCCAAATAAAAGTAGAGGTAATAATAATTAAATAATAATAATAATGAAATATAAAAATTGTCATACAAATCCGAAATTGTACACGAGATGGAATAAAATTAGTGGTCACTCCGGCTCCGGGACCTCGAAAATACACAAAAACAGAGACACGTGTCAGGGGATGATAGGGCCGAAGGCTCTACACTCAGTTAAGGACTTCTGCACCCCGCCCTCGCAGAAAAACCATCTGAGGGGACACCGGTACAGGCAGTTGTCCCCCAACCGGACAGTAACCGACCCGGCTTTAAGCTCCAGGAACGCACCCGGTATCGGCCCGAATAAGTAATTCCCACCCAACAGCAGCCTCTCGAATTGGGCCAAGCCCAAAGCCGGATCCACGCCCGGATCCACCACCTTCAGAACATACTGGGTCGGAATCGGACCCGAGAACTTGTTGTTCTCCAACGAGAGCGCGGAGAGTCGGGGCAGTTGACCCATGAACCCGGGTAAGAATCCTCGGATCTGGTTGTTACTCAGATCGACGGAGATTAGCTGGCTGGTCAGGGTCGGGTCCGGGTAGGGTCCGGGCTGTTGGATCGAACCGAATTGGTTGTACGACACCGTCAGCTGCTCCAGCGAGGGGTGAGAGAAGAGCGCCGCCGGAATTTCTCCGGCGAGGGAGTTGTGGCTGAGGTCGAGGACTTCTAGAGAGGATACGGCGGCGACGCTCGCCGGAATGCTGCCGGAGAGCTGGTTGTTTCGGAGGGCTAATTCGACGAGGGAGGGGGGGAGTGCCGCCGGAATCTCGCCGGAGAAGGAGTTGTCGCTGGCGTCGAGGAAGTTGAGGGCGGCGAGCCGAGACAAGTCGGGCAGCGCGCCGCCGAGCCGGTTGTTTTGGAGCTCGAGCCGCTGTAGATTTCTTAGAAGGTTGAGGGAGGGGGGGAGGGGGCCGGAGAGGTAATTGGAGTCGAGGATGAGCTCCTGGAGGTTTGGAAGGGCGGCGACGGCGGCGGCGGGGATGGCGCCGGTGAGGGAGTTGTGGGAGAGGACGAGGCGTTGGAGGTTTGTGAGGGCGGAGAAGGCGGCGGGGATGGGGCCGGAGAAGTTGTTGTTGGAGAGGTCGAGGTTTTGGAGGTAAGGGAAGGTCCAGGCGGCGGCGGAGAGGGCGGCAGAGTAGCCGGCGGCGTCGAGGGCGAGGTCGGTGACGCGGGAGAAGTTGCAGCGGAAGCCGCAGGTGAATTTGGCGGAGAAGATGGAGTCGCAGGGGTCGACGGAGAAGTCCCATGAGTCGATGCAGGACCCCGCCGGAATCGACGAGGGGTCGATGGCCGATTTCAGCTGCCGGAGGGCTTGGAGGTCCTGAGGGTGGGTGGCGGCGGAGGCGGAGGCGGCGCCGGCGAAGAGGAGGAGGAGGAGGAGGAGGAGCGGGGCCATTGGGAAGTGAGAATGGGGGGAGGAGAGGGAGACAGGGAGTTGTAAGTAAGTAAGAATGATGGACGGTGGAGATGGAGTGGTGGGGCCGGACGGAGGGCTGGGATGTGTCAGAGGGGGGACTGTTTGGTGTCTTTCCCAGGCCATACATCCATTAATAAAATTGTTGGTTGGTTTGGATTTTTGTGGTGGCTTTTGGAAATGGATTATTTTAGAGTGAAAAAAGATTCTTAAAAATTGAAAATTTAGAGTCCAGAAATTGGGAAACACTTGAAGAAAGGAAGAAAGACCCAAAAATGATGGATGGATGGATGGATGATTGATTTCATTTCATGGGTAGGCAAAGCTAAGGCTAGTAAGTAAAATGGATTTAATGATGGATGGATGAATGAATGAATGAATTAGATTCTCCAAAGGGGTAGTAGTAGTAGCATTGCATAACGTGAGGATTTAATACTAGAAAAATATTTAGTCAACTCTGAATGAATTAATATGAATGATAGATATGGGTATTGGGGCTGTAGTAGGGTACCTGTGTGTTTGTGTATGGATAAGTGAAAGAGAGAATGAATGAGGGAGCAGCCAAAAAACACTACATTTAATATAATATATATATATATATATATATATAGTATGGGTCACTTTAATTCAATACAATACTTGAAGCATCCCACATATTATAAGAGACAACATACAAATTTATGTTAAATATAATACAAATACTAACACAGTGTCACTTACAAACTTACATTGTCTGTCAGCCTAGTTTTTTATGCATCATAGCCAATCACTCTACCTAATATTGGTTCATTCATAATAAGCTATTTTATTTATAGTTCAAGCAAACACACCTTTTTGTTGCAGAGTGAGACTGAGAGAAAGATAGATAGAGAGAGAGAGGCATCAATCCATCCATCAAGTAATCATCTACAATCGATCCCTTTAACAAAGATGCCTCAAAACTCAATCATTCAAAGACAAACAACCTTCATCCCACTGATTTTGCAGCTAAGCATATCACCAACCAGGGCACCATTATTATGCCCAACTAATATATATATATATATATATAATTATCTCCATGCATTCTGCCATCACTAATTTCTTCTTTCCTATCTTCTTCTATACTTAATATCATATCATATAACAAGAACTCACTCAATTATTCATCATGGAATCCATTTACCTAACCAATGAATTAACACCCAAAGAACCTGTTTCTACACTACACATTGATTGCCCCAAAAATCAAAATGGCTCTAACATTCACAAATTTGTACCTATTTTGCTTGTTTTCTACTTCAAAGAAACAGACGGGGAGCAGCACTTATCGAACAAACGGCCAAACAATACCAATGATATATACATACATTCCTATAGAATCACATGCTCTAGGAACAAGCTAAGGTTGGTCTGAAGAAGTATACAAAATTTAACACCGAAAAGTGCCAACAGTTTTTCTCATGATGGAAACAGCTGATGGATTTTCATGAAGCAAAACTAACATATTTGAACAAGGAGAAGCAATATGTTAATACACAGAAGAATCCCACCATACAATAACATTACAACCTCGCTTATTTACAATTTTTGTCGTTTAGCGACAAAAGTAAGAATACATATAGATTCTCAGAAGTTGCTATGCTTATGCATACACACGCACAGATTTATTCAGTAAAAAGGAAAGATGAACCAACCTTTTTTCTTTTTCTTTTTTTTTTTTTTACCAGAATCCAGTCATGATTCATCCTCGCCAGACCAGTCAGTCTTTTCCAACTTTCTTTTGTTTTTCCGACATAAGTTGGCTAAGTAGTTCCTCACGTATCCTTGGTTGATCTCAAATACAAAATTCATCCCTTTAATCTGCAATTTACCACACACAATTTTCAAGAATAAATCAATATAGCTGAGTGTAGGAAATCAGTGCAGCAAAGCAAGTTAGGGGTATAAGGCCAAATCCCAAGGACGCAAAACAACTGACCTAGACATAATGTCAGAAAGGAATTAAAACAGAGGGTCTATAGTCGAATTTCTCCAGTTACAGAACAAATATGGAAGAGAAAATATGGCAAGTTCAAAACCATGATTGGGTATGCATCAACATATAACAAATGTAAAATGAATTAATAGCTTCCGTTACAGGTCTTTGGTATGCACTTAAAGAATAATGATGAGGAAAGAATCTTAAGTTTCTGAAATTTGATGAAAAAAGTGATGCTAACATATAAAATGACAATTATATTCAGATGTTGCACAATTTTGCAAATTTTAGGTGAGAGAAATACCTCAACCAAAGAACTGGAACTCAGGTTCACTAATTGGCCTCTAGCTACTGGCAGGCCATTCACAGTCACGGAGCTCTTCCCAAGATTTCTTAGAAAGAAAGATCCATTATCTTCCATCTTGATTATAGCCTAAACAGATATACTTACAAAAGTTAGGGTTGAAAGGGATCTGAAAACATAAAAAACATTGATACCCCACAACTTAAATGCATAATTAACATCGGAATATGCATTAATTTGCCACCATTTAATATGGGAAGGATGATGCTAGGCACAAAATAACACATACCTGCCGTCGCGATATCTTATTGGCTCTCCCTTCTCTACTTAGGTCGATGTCAACTTCAATATCATCTGTTGATCTTCCTAGTAAAACCTACAATGACAAATACATTAATGAAAGTGACAGACTAATGGAATAGCACATTAAATACCTATGAGGCACATGTACTAATATGATGTGAGCAAATTTACAAGCACCGCGCAATAGTTGGAATGGAAAAATGATGAGTTCCATACCCAAAAAAATTCAAGGAGATAAAAGAAACAGAGCCGAAACAAGGGGGAAAATTATATGGAATTTGTAACAAGAAATTAGTGATACCATTCTACAAATTCTACTAAAGAATCCACTCACCTAATCTCTATGCACTGAGCTTTTTGAAAACATGGATAAACTAAAATTTCAATAAGAGAGAATCTTGAGCAATCTCAGGAACATAAGTTCTCTAGAATTCTGGAATTAACAGATTATTGCGCTGAGAAGTTGTAACTCAAGCGGTTGAACACTCTTTGACATACTATGGGATTAGGGGTTCAATCCCCGTGGAGTGCGTGAGTGTGTGAGTGTTTGGGTAAAAAACAAAGATTACTGGATTATTTCATAGAATCAATGCAATATTGAAAGGAAATAATAATTAACTCAAATGTGGAAGGCACCTCTGTACCAGGGCAAATGCGCAGAGGCACGTGCCTACCAAAAGCGTGCCGGCACAGTGGCCGCAGCATTGCACGCTTTTAATAACTATGTTCGGATTTACACACAAATATGAGAAATACTAGAAGACAGCTGGAGAATGGAAAGTAACCTCAGGCTTCTTGATGTAATGCCTTAAATGCCGGCCATAAAAGATGGCAAAGGCTCTTCGAGATGTCATGGCCCTCTGCAAGCATGAATAAGCATTTTGCTCCAACCGTATGATTGTCCTTTTAGTTTCATCGTACTGATAATTTGGAACTGAATAGTAAATGCAACAAAGCAAATCAATTAGGAATTAATTACAACCCTCGAAACAGCACATAGTGAAGCAAATTTTCACTTCAAACACAAGAGATGAGCCTATCATTAATTATTCAATGCTGCATATTTAATTATTTAGGGTGCTAATTATGTATATGATGGTCAAGGCAGGTCAACATATGATATCTAACTCACAAGTTCAGTAACACCGTCAGTTTTGTCAATGTAAGAATTGTGTAGTGGAGAGTCTTCTAACATTGTAGTCAGCTAAAGATACACAGAGGGTTACTGCAAATGTCTATTCTATTCTCGATAATTGATAACATAACATAACAGAACAAATAAATGTACCTAGTTTAAATGAGCCTAAACTAATCTAACATACAAGTCATACGATCCAAGATTGTTACGTATGAAGTCAAATTGAGAACTTTAAGGCCTTTGTAAATATGTTTGCAAGTTTATTCCATTATTGATAAGTTACATAAAACAGCAAATAAATAAACACATTTTAAATGGGCCTAAACTAATAATAAGATACGGCCTAATCGAACGGTTACAAAAGGATCAATGATAAACAGGTGAAAGGAATCGTAATAATCTTGATTCATATTCTTTTGAAAGATTTTTTACATTTAAATGCTTTACTTGCCGATGGTCAACAGAAAAATAATTATATCAACTAAATATAGTACCATATAAATTACCTACCTTTCCTAATATTATTGGAGTCTTGATCACAAGGCTCCAGGTCCATATCAAGTATCTGCAAGTAAATATTATCCGATCACAAGTGGTATAAATGTATATATTAATATTTCCAGTTATAGATCAGATTCTAGTGAAATAATATATTTCTAAACTAATACCATTGCTTCTACATCTGAGAAATGGGGCACATCATCATCAATCTCAGCTTCATTCAGATCTGATGCCGAGGAATCAAGAGCTGGTTCTTGAATTGGGGCTCCACCATAACTTGCTTCTCTATCTTCCATTATTGCACTAGTTGTCGCCGGGTTTTCACCAACCTATTTATGAACAAAGTTAGCAACGGTTACCAAATCCTAGAATGCAAAACTTCACAGAATAACTAAAAAGGAGCATGTGAAAGCCTACCTTCATCTCACTAGAAACTTCTTTCTCGGGAGGCCTATTGGTAGATGGCAGTGCAATTGCATTAAGGGGTTTGTTTTGACTAGATTCTCCAATGGTTTTGTCCATAAATCTCGATAGGACCTGAGACCTAGAATTGTAACTTTCACTTTTTAATGGTTGAACGTAATTAGGTCCTGGCAAGCCACGTTTTCCAATCTTCTGGCCCAACCCAAAAGGTTTGGTAGACCCTGTTGCTTTTTCCGGCCAACCCATAACTTGTTCACTATTCTTTGCATGTGCAACAGACGATGCATTCATAAATGCTGCGGTGGTTGGTTGTGTCAAAGAACCAAATGACGTCGAAGGATGGATGAGTAAGAATATATCATCATTGCATGGAATTTCAGTGTCTTCAGTGTTCAACACGCAGCAGATCTTGCCATCACTGAGTTCCGAAAAATCGGATTTTACAGTTGGTTTCAAAGGCACATCGAGTGCAGGCTGAGAACTCTTATGGTCTCCATGACCAGAGGGCGCAGCAACGTCCACTGCCACAGCATTTTCTCCATGAGCAGACACTGCACTAGCTTCTACGACAATAGCACTTTCTCCATGAGCAGACACTGCACTAGCGTCTACGACAATTTGAGTCTCATTTTCAGCTTTTGAAACATCATTTTCCTGAATAGCTTTATTGGAAACCTCAAGAACTGAATCAATATTGTTGCTGCGTACTTTCTTATCTCCATTTTTTCCGTCAGCATCCTCCAAAAGAATCTCTTCATCATTTGAGAGGTTCAAAAGTGAATCTGGGTAGACCAATTCACCTGTGCATGGACCCGAACCATCTTCTTTAACCCCAATATCATTAGAAATTACATCTTCAGAATCATGAGCTGCATCTTGGAGACTCATGCTAACAGGTATTGAAGGAGCCAAAAAATCTTGCACTGCGCCCCAGTGGCTTACGTGAGGTGAGTCGGGTGCAAATGCAACTCCTTGAAAAGAAGAAAATCTGTCTGAATTAGGAGTATTACATTGTTGTCTACCCTCAAATCCAACGGCAGAATTGTGGGGATTATCATCGTCTACTGAACTTTGTCCGAGGGTAAGTGGACTTTCGGTGTTTTTAATATTGATCTCCAAAATATCTTTCTTACCTTTTGTCAATGCAGAAGCAACATTCTTGTTATATCCATAGCCACCTATGATTCCACTTCTTTTCTTTACGTCAAAGGAGTTTGCACTTGGTTCTGCAGCGACTTCATTCCTTGTTCCCAGAAAAGCATGACGTAAAATATCTAAATCTTCCTCCTGAAGTCTTAAATGATCTGGTATATCGTCTCCAAGAATACAATTTTGGGCCAAAGCATTCCCATCAAGCATCATCTGTTTATCAGAAGTTGGTCCAAAAAGATTGCTACTAAAAACTTCAGCTCGTAATTTTTTCCTCATGGCATAGTAGTCCCTTCGAACGCTCCCAGCTTTCCTCTTCAGTGAAACCTCTTTATTACCGGATGTGTTCTCTGATTTATTTAACTTTGGTGCATGAGTTAAGCCAGATATCTCATGCTCAAACATACGTTCAGAAGCCTGAGTTGAAATATCAGAATCATAGAGAAGTGCGAACCATCTCTCTCGCAGTTCTTTTAAAGTATACTTGCGAGAAAACTGCACTGCACCCTTGGCAAGTGCTTCCAATGATGCACCAGCCTGAAAAAATAACATAGAATAAAAAAGTAAAGAAACAAAATAGCTGTTACAATATCGATAGAACAGAATAAAAAAGATGAAATTATGATGTTGGACTACAATACAATTACGAACAAAACTGAAAAGGCATATATTGGTGTTTATATCCATATTTTTCAAGTCAGGCACAAAATAATACATTTCATTAGCTTAAATTCATTTCTATCATTGCAAATTTCACCGAATATAGGTAATAAACCTTGTATTCCCTTCATCTCCAAAATTTGTGATCAAACTTTTTGGCACAGATTTTAATGCGCATAGGGTTTTGATTGATACTTTTGTTTTTTATAGTAAAAAACATATATATAAAAAGTGGTACAACTTTTTACAAAACGAGAAAATTTGGACATTTTTAGAAGATGACAAAAAAGAAAAGTGAGCACAGTTTTAAGAGACAGAAGTATTAATCAACTGATGACGAATTCATAGGTAACTTAAATTCATGTCTATCTTTGCGAGTTTCGTCGTATATAATATATAGGTAACTTAAATTCATGTCTATCTTTGAGAATTTCATCGTATATAGGTAAATTAAATTCATGTCTATCTTTGCGAATTTCATCGTATATAGGTAACTTAAATTCATTTCTATCTTAGCAGAGTATTCGTCTAACTAATTCATCCATTGTAACTATGAAGAAAGGTATGTTCAACTTATGCTCCATAATTAGTAACATAAATAATTCATGGAGCAAGTTGCTCAAGCTCAACTGCGTCCAAACAGAGTCATAAAATCCAAAAATTAGATCATCATAAGAGACCACAAGATACATGAATTGCAGAAGATCAAAGAGTAAAATTCACAGTCATGGGCAAGAACATTACAAAAGAATAACTAAGCTAAAGCGAAAACAGAACTTTTGAGTGAAGTATTCCCACAAGAAATTAAATTACCTCAACAGCATTCTTCAACGCTAGGTCATCTTCAGGAACCCATGGAACAGCCATCGGAGGAGCGGTCTCCATGTATAAATTAAATTACTCTTTCCGAAACCTAATCACACTAAATTCTCCTTCCTCCACGCTACGTAAGAACTCAAATCGAGCTTTCCAGAGCAAATTACAGCCAACTCGAAATTTGATGCTTTCAGAAAAATCCCCGTTCAGAATCAAGGGTTTCCGATTTCACATCAAACAAAAGTGAGCAGAAGAAAAACTCAAAACCGTGACGCCATAATCGAAATTAGCACAAAATCACTCGATTCCTCTCCAGAGTGAAAAAGGGAAACACCACCATAACCAATTGGGGAAATGCTAATTGCAAAATTCACAGAATTCCACCGACTTACAGACGAAATCAACAATTTTTCCAATCAGCCAAATTTTTCCCCCTCCCTTGATATCATCGATTGCACTTGGAACCACCGGATAATTCCGCTCGACGTGAATCCCAACCACCCGTTTGCGAGGATTGTGTGGAGTTATCGAATCACACAAATGCACTTCTCTGTTGATCTTCCTCAGATGCTTTCCGTAAGCACCTCTCAGCTTTCAGTTCCGACTCTCGACTCTATGAAGGATTTTGAAATATATTATTAAAAATGAATAATTATTACTATTATTTTTTTTAGCAGAATTGTTAATGACTTATTGACTATTATCATTATTACTTATTTAACTAAATTTACAATACTTAATACTCCTATTAAAATTTTCATAATTATAAATATTATATTTAATGTCTATTTATTTCTTCTATTTTAAATAAATATTGAAAGCTAGAAATGGACTTCTAGAAAAATCTTCTCCGCAAATCGGGTTAAATTTTGGGCTTTATTAAGGCCCGTTTATAATAAAAGCCGAGTAGGCCCAATAAGTGGGCCCAATTCCAAATAGACGTTTAAATTTAATTATACATATACTTTCTAATTATTTTTTACACTTTTCTAATGCAAAATAACTGTTATATATAATATTTTCAGATAAAAAAAATAATTTTTAAGGAAATTTTAGTCAATTTTCACTTAATAATAATAATAATAATCATATAAATATTGAATAATAAAAAATAGATACTAAGTGAATCAGAGTATTTTAATTATTACAGTAATAGGCCTAATCTCATATGATTAGTTAGCTAAATTAACAAGCTATAATGGGCTTTGTACCCCCATAATAGCAAACCTCTTATTTTATTAATTTGTTACGCTAAATAAATAAATAATAATAATAATAATATATTATATAATTTTTTAATAGAGAATATGTTTTTTTTTTATTTAATATTTTAAACGAAAAATAATTGTATGTTTTTGTTCAATAGAATTGTAATGAATAGTAAAAAAAATAAAAATTTATAAGTGTGTTTGTTTGGGTGATTTGATTTGTTTTCTATACTAATCATAATTTTTTCTACTAAAATTATAAATCAAATATTTATTTTTTTATATTATATTAAAAATTAATTTTATATTCAAAATATCATATCAAACAAATATTCGAATTCAAAATTTTACTATTCTAATATTATGATAAATTGTTTTGTTATTTTTTAGTCACCTATTTTTGTATATTTATACTCATAGTTTTTTATATATATATTCTCAAAACTCTATTATTTAATTTTTAAATCCTTTTATAAAAAGAGTAATATTTTCTAGAGTAAATTATATAACACATCCTTATGTTTTACTAAAAATGCACAAAACACCATGTGTTTTATTTATTGCGTGAAACCCTTTTGTGTTAATGAAAAGCTTGCATGAAACACCTTCCTTGTCCAAAACTGATGTTTGGTTCGAAATAAAGGCCTAAATTACGTAAGTTTTATACAAATAAAAAACGTAAAATATCTTAAATAATTTTGTTTGAATAAAATAAATAAATAAATAATTGAGCAATCATTTATTTTTATAATTTTTATAAAAATCAGATAACAACTTGTCTCAAAAGCTATAAAACGAAGGATTAATAAATTATTTATTTATTTATTTATTTAATGCAAAAAATTTATTTAAGATATTTTGCACTTTGTATAAAACTTGCGTAATTTAGGTATTTATTTAGAACTAAATATCAGTTTTGGACAAGAAAGATGTTTCGTGCAAATTTTACGTTAACACAAGGAGATTTCACGCAATAAATAAAATATAGGGTATTTTGTACATTTTTACTAAAAAACAAAGGGGTTTTATATAATTTACCCTATTTTCTATTACAAAAGTAGTATCACATTTAAGCTAGTATTCAAATTATTATTATTAATTTAAATCCTAACCAAACACAGTTGGTGACCTTACAAAATAAAATTATAGGACATTGTGGATTAAGACCAGATCTTGACCTAAATTAACCAACAGTAGTGTCCACAACTTGTACCATATATAGGGTAATAAGGGTGTGTTTTTATTTTAATACAATTTTTTTAAAAAAATTTTACTATTTAAATTTCGACGTATTTCGAAATTTTTTCTTTTATAAAATTATATTAAATATTATTTTACCAAGAATTTGAATCAAAATTTTTCAAGAAAAAAAACCTCAGGTATGATTATACTTGTATAATTTTCACCATAATTTTACTATTTCAAAATTATTTTCCCTCCAAAATATCAAATAAATTACCAAATTTTAATTTATTATATTAAGCTGAAATTTAGTGTTACGTTTGAAATACATATCAATATATATTTATATAATAATTATTTTAATTCAAAATTTTATAATTCAAATCTGGACAATGAGTAATTTACTTGTAATTTGCTGGATATAATATTTTATTAAAAAATAAATTTATAAAGAATTTTGGATCCGACTAACATCAAAGTTTAGGGTGTGCTTAGTTTGTGCATATTTTAAATCAATACTAAACCAATCATTTTAATTAAAAATATATTATTTTTTTTTTCAAATATCTCATTAAAAATATCATTTTAAATCAAAACTCAAATTAAAACAAAACAAACCTTAAAAAAACAAATAAATAAATATTGCTAATGTTTAAATAAATTGACATGTATGTTAGATGCCATGAGGCCAACAACAAATCAATAAACATAAATATATATAGGTTTGTTGGCTTTTACAAAATATTGTACTATATTGTTTCACTAAAAAATTATTTTTTTAAAAAAATTATTTTTAAAAATAACAAAAACATATATTTTCATCTTGAAACTCTAGCTAGGTTCTATTTCTTTTATAATTTGAAAATGATATTGCATTACTTATCAAAATTCTTTTATGCCAAAATCATCAAATAAATTATTTATTTTATATTTAATATATTATCAAAAATTATGTTTTTATTTAAAATATTTTACATCAAAATACTTATTATATAATATCAATAAATAATTCAATTCAAACTTTTAATTTACTAATTATAGACCTAAAACTCAAATTTAAACTTTATTTGTTGTTTTGTAATTTCAAACTAAAATTAATACTTCTTCATTTTATACAATTTTTACTTATTTTTCAAAAATATATTATTCATATTTTTTCCATAAAGTAGTATTATTTTTTCACAACATTTTTTAAAAAGAATACAAATTATTTCACTCAAATAAATTTGCAATTTCTCAAAACACTTTCATAGTTTTCTATAACTAACAAAAAAAAAATACTCCCGTTCCATCTAATATGCCCATATTATTTCTATGTATTATATAATTAGTAAGTAATAAAAAAATTGTATTGGTAAAATAATTATAGGTTAAGATTAAAATGATCAAATAGTTTACTTAAAAAATAAATAATTTATAAATTTTAAATTTTAAAATGTAATTAAAATGTATAATTATATTTTTTAAAAAAAGGACAAAGTATCACACAATCTAAAACATGAGTGTGTTTCTTTGGATTTTTATTTTTATTTTTGGGTTTTGAAGGCTTAAATTTTATTAAAATAATAATTTGATATTGTGTTGTATGAGAAAAAAAAATATTTTTATTATGAAAAATGGAAACTCAATACTAAAAAAAATAAAAAATTAAAGATTTTCGTTTTACATATTTTTTAATTGACATATGAATAAAATAAATTAGGTCGAAATTGATGAAGAAGATCAAATCACTTAATTAATTGGTGAATTGTATTAATTTGATGAGATAATTTGGTAGCCAAAATATTAATTTGTATTAAAAGTGTGACATTAATGAGTTAATAATAAGTGAGGGTATTTTCTGTGTATATTTAAAATTAATTAAGTGGGAAAATAATACCAATTAATTTAATATACATTCGTGCCTAATTAATTTATTCTCACCCGTAAGGAAATATAATATTTGAGGATAAATTATAAAATTTCTTTTCTTGTGTATATATTTAATTATCTATTTTTCTATTCATTGTAATCATGGATGCATGACATATTACATATAAATTATAAAATTTATTCTCATTTTAATAATAATAATAATAATAAAATGCAAAAAAAATCTTTATTAAGTATATGTTAATATTAATATATAAATTAATTATATAAATATACTATCACTAATAAACTTAATTGAACTATCTGTGAGCTAAGTCTGCACTTCTTTTGTTTATAGAGAAAATAAATTTTAATTTCGACCTGTTTATTTTTATAAACAAGTCGAGCCAAATTGTTAATGAGTTGAATTGAATTTGATTTGCGAGCCAATCGATTTGTTTAATAATTTTATGCACAAATGAATATTGATTTGAATAATAGTTGTATGTAATATTTTATTAGAAGATGTCTTTTTATACATATCGTAAGAATTATATACCGAAGAAACTGAAATCAAATTCCAACCAAACAAATAATTTATGTTTATATCATTTTTCTTTTTTGTTCACAAATTTTAATAATAATTTACACTTTTGTATGGTACAATAGTTAGGAATTTTATGTTATTCGAATTCAAACGAAGCAATATCAAAATTATTAATTTAAAATTTCAACATATCATATACTCCATTCGTCCCTTAACAATCTATCTATTTTTTTTTTTTAATTTTGGTCCGTCTCATAACAAAATATCTATTTTCTTTTTTAGTAATTGTACTATCTACCTAATATTACAAATACCCTTCAAATTTACAATATATTACACAAATGTCATTACCTTTATATCATACAATACTAATAGGGTTAATTTAATATTTTTACCTTTATTTTTACTTTATTCCAATACAATACTAATATTTGTAAAATTTCGTGCAAAAAACAAATAGATATATAGATATTGGACGGAGAGAGTAATTAATTCGAAGATTAAAAACTTTTAGATTCAACTCTACAAAAAGTCCAAATGCAATTATATGTATTTATATACAAAACCCAAAAATATTTTAATAGTAGGGTATTAAAAAATAAATCAATTAAATTAAGAGTAGAAGTCATATACATAATTAATCTACAGGACATGTAAAAAGGCTAACAATACATACATACATACATATATATTATTAATTAAAGTACAAAAAATATAGCATGAGCAAATGTAAAATTTTATTTATTAAAGTACGTTTCATGTCACAATTTTAAAGGTAAATTATTGAATTCCAAACTAAAGGGACCCTACACACACTATTATATATATATATAT